CGACTGCCTAATCGATCCCACCACCTCGGAAGTGGACAAGTCGAAGCAATGGACGCGATGGGCTCTAACACAGCACCAGTTTGCAGATTTCCCTGAATATCCGCCACGCCAGGCTGACTCTCTCTTTAGGCGCTGGTTCCATGAACCTCTCAAGCAGTCGCTGCGTTGGTTCAAGCTGAAAGGTGTCTGCTTCCTCTGCGAAATTGACGGACAAGACACGAAGTACGTGCTACACTTACTTGCGACTGTTGTACAACTTAAACCCTCCAGGCTTGGGAGCATCTCATCGTATAATCGTCACGTCCGCGCAGACGGACCGCACGGCGACGACGCGCGCCTCTACCAACAGGTCATCGCGACTAGTATTCCCGTTCGGCTGCCATCCACGTTCATAGCAGCAAGGGACATTGAGATGCCGACGCTCCAGGAACAGGTGGAGAACATCGTCCTGCCTGACACTTTCGCCGATGCGGACACTGCACGCTCCCTATTCCGCATGAGTACGGATGCCCCGGGTTTCCGTTGGGAATGCCTGGACTCGCCGCCCCCGTTGCAGGAGGTGTGCGATGTGAAGCAGATGATGCGGAAGCGGCGCAAGCTTAACAGCTATTCGTTCAAGTTCGTCTATGAGGAGGCAGAGAACGAGACCGGAGCCTGAGAGTCAGCGAAGCTGATAGTAGCTGTCCTTGCACTAGATTGTCTGAATTGATTGCATTTCTCAATTATCAACGCTGCAACCATATTCCGGATCGGATGAAAAAAAAGTCGGAGAGATCGAGCCTATAAATGAGGGGAAAGGTGAAGAACTGAGGGCAGAGCAGCTGTTCTGGTGGCAAATTCTTAGAAAAGTCACGAAACAATTGATTTTTATGAACAGGTTTTGCCTAATCCCAAATGCGATCTGCAAGCCATCAGTTGACCTTATCTAAATTACCGAATTGGGATGAGAGCGGTTCTGATAAGATAAGATGAACCAAATTGCCTAACTGAGATGACTAATATACTTCATTCATACTGATTATTTTTTTTCGAGCTGTCCGACTACTTTTACGTCCTTCTTGCCTTATGCGATGTCGTTGCTCCTGGTAAGTTACTATTCCCCATCTCGTCTGGTTTCACCCTGATTTGAATTTAGTTGTCAACTTGATCCGAGTCTATCGGCTTTGGTTGGAACTTCAGTTGCAGTGAACTTAAGTTTTGGGGATGGGGAAAGGTAGGGGTATTGGGGTCACAGCCCATGGGTGCGCTATGGTAATATAACTTGAGATTCAAGCCCAACGTGAATTTGAAAAGTGGTCGAACCGCCTACAACTTAAGATGTGCTAATTATATTTCATGTAGTTGAATGTCGAATACACGACGTGTGGAATATTTTTTTAAAGGGGGAAATAAACATGGTTGAGTCGAGCGGGCAAAGTGATACTTTTCGCCGCAACCAAATGGCGCAAAGATGGTATGTACAGTATGATTAATCATCTACAAGTATCGGTAAATGAAGGCATATATATAATCTACGCGGGAATAAGGACTCTGCCAAAATCGAGGTCAGCGGGGATATAGAGTAAATAAACGAGAAAGTTACCGGATAATAGGCCAGCCCAGCACGCGAAGATAGTGCTGGATGATTCGCCGCAAGCCCTGTGGGCCACCGCAGGCTGCCCAAGAAAACTTCTCGATGTGGTACTTCGGGCAATGGTCGCATCGAACGCGTCCAAGCCAAGCGCCGTGTATTTTCAGGTGGAGTTGTACGATCGCCTCTGAAATTTACAAAATAAGTGGAATGAGGCGCAGAATATAAGAATACTGACCGAATTTACGCGCGTGGGGAACTCGGTAGGCGTATAACCAAGTCTGGCGCTGACCGGGGCAGGAGCGGCGCCATTGCGCGCGACGGCGGCGAATATGCGAGGTGCGCCCGAATTTCAAGGCGCGGCGGCGGCGGCGATTAATACACACAGTCGTCGCGAAGACGTATGCGAAGCCGCGGCGGTCGGAGGCGCGGGCGGGCGCGTGGAGGAGTGCTTGGAGTCTGACCTCCCACTGGCGCAGTTGGCGGGTAGACGGCATCGCGCTGGGCGGCGGCGGCGGTGGTGGTGGTGGTGAGCGGCGGGGCGGGCGGTGGTGTGAGTGGTGGTGAGTAGTGTTAGTGGTGGTGAGCGGGGGCGGCAGTAAACGTCCCGGGCGAGTTTCCGCGGGACGTGTGGTGGTGAGTAGTGAGTGGTGGTGGTGAGCGGGGGCGGCAGTAAACGTCCCGGGCGAGTTTCCGCGGGACGTGTGGTGGTGAGTAGTGAGTGGTGGTGGTGAGCGGGGGCGGCAGTAAACGTCCCGGGCGAGTTTCCGCGGGACGTGTGGTGGTGAGTAGTGAGTGGTGGTGGTGAGCGTGCGAGGCGGGCGGTGGTGTGAGTAGTGTTAGTGGTGGTGGTGGGGGCGGCAGTAAACGTCCCGGGCGAGTTTCCGCGAGACGTGTGGTGGTGGTGGTGAGCGTGCGAGGCGGGCGGCAGAGGGGGGCGGCGGTGCCAGTTTGAGGTAGACGTTGCACCTGGAACCAGGAGCGCCTCGGATCGGACGCCCCAGGTAAATCGCGCGAGACGTGTCGTGTACTGTCATTTTCTTTATCTTCTACTTGAATTCCATCCTTTTCTACTGTGTTTGAGCTGAACTTGGGTATTTTCACCTAAATTGCCCAATTAGGATGAGAGCGGATGTTTATTTGGTTCTGATGAGATCAAATGAACAAAATTGCCTAACTGAGATGAGAGTGGTTGTTTATTTGGCTGCGTGCCCGACTTCCTTGTATCACGTAAATTTTGTACGAGCAGCGCCGGTATATAGTAACCCGGCTTTGCGATCATGATTCAAACAAAACACTTTTCGTTCCATATCTACTACGAATCACAATCGTTGATCTTGTTCACCGCTGTGACCTAGTAGAGATGGAATAATATCCGATGTTTCCTGTCTGATCCGCATGGCACATGGACAGTAATATTCGAGCCAGAGATTTGGAATGGCCGAATTTCCAATGGCGGGGTTCGCAAGGGAGCGTCTTTGGTGCACACGTTAAACTCAAATTGACACTGAAGCCTATACTAGTGTGAATTTTTTTTTTTTTTTTTTTTTTCACCAAGTCGTGCATCAATTCGACCTTAGTGCATTTTTGCTGATTTTTCTGTGCGCGCACGCCTCCGGCGTGCGCGAGTAGTAGACCGCCACCGCCGAGCCAGTCTTGCCTGGGCTGACACCCAGGCAAGAGACACGGTTCGTCTCGGGTAGTGTTTGAGGCCACCCCCGAGCCAGTCTTGCCTGGGCTGACACCCAGGCAAGAAACACAGTTCGTCTCGGGTAGTTTTCCAAGACGCAAGATGGACCTAGGCGACCCCCGAGCCAGTCTTGCCTGGGCTGACACCCAGGCAAGAAACACAGTACGTCTCGGGTAGTGTTTCAGGCGACCCCCGAGCCGGTCCTGCCTGGGCTGAGACCCAGGCAAGAAACACAGTACGTATTGTTAGTTTCTGGAAGGCGGAGGAATGAGCAAAAGGCGCCCGAAAAAAAAAAGGTTGGTCGGGCAATCTCTGCAGAAATTGATGATGGACGGAAATGCGTCGTAGATGCGCACCACGCGCCACCAAGCCATTATTGGCCTTATATTCAAAGTCTAAATACTATATGGTTTGGGGCGGTCAGGAGTCGCCCGTTTCCCGGATGAAAAAGTTGGATAGTGGGGAATACCCCAAAAAATGAGAGACGGGCCAGATTTGATGTCTCAGCTCGAGAAGAAAAAAGACATCAATAATGCTCGGGAATGGCTTGGGCCCGAGTCGAACGGGCGACCACTGCAGAGTTGATCTTTACAGATGGGCCACCAAGCCAGTATTTGCTTTGTATGTAACCTCTATATAGTGTAGAAATACGGGTAAAAGGAGGGCCGACGTCCTGCCCGGGGGCATTGTCTTAAATCAGAGATACGCCACCAAGTTCAGCTAGGTCAATAAAGACACTTGCACCAGCAAATGCCGAACAGGTTTTGCCTAATCCCAAATGCCATGGGCAAACCATGGTGTGGCTTGCGTCCAGTATACAATTCACAGCACAGGCCACCAAGCCAATACTGGCTTTATGTTTCAACTCAAGATAGTATATATAGGTGTTTGATATGGGTCAAGAAATGCCGACCGGGTATTGTTTTGCAAGGGGGCATGGCAACATCTGGGATGAAAAACAAATGGGGACATTGTCCCAAAATCCGGGATGAATTAAATGGCGGCCGTTCATGTTATTTAAAGAGCAAACTCTCATCCAAGAAAAAAGGATGAAAAAAAGGTGGCCCTCCCCAAGACCCGATACCGCATTAGCCTCGATCGCCCGCTGAGCTCATCCTTTTTTCCGGGATGAAAAAAGAGTCGGCCTCTATGAGGGGGGGGCAAAAAAAAATGTGGCCGCTCATCCTTTTTTCCGGGATGAAAAAAGAATGGGCCTGTATGAAGGGCAAAAAAAAACATTTGCCGCTCATCCTTTTTTCCGGGATGAAAAAAGAGTCGGCCTCTATGAGGGCGGGGCAAAAAAAAATGTGGCCGCTCATCCTTTTTTCCGGGATGAAAAAAAGGGGACCCAAACATTTCTGCAGGAACAACAAAAGGCCAAAAAGTGACCGAGCTAGGGGTCGAACCTAGAGTCTCCTGATTACATAATCCATCACATGATCGTAGTCAGACGCGATGCCATTTCGCCACACGGCCATAAAAGGTGCCCATATTAAGAAATAAAACTCTAGATAAAAAGAAAACACCTGGTCCGGCAACTGCCGCAAGTGTGTGCTTTTGATTTCGTATGCGGTTGGTGGCGCCCCCTTGAAAAGACCCACCGCCAAAAAAGGTCACTTTCAAATTGCGGACACCCAATGAAAAAGGTCGAGCGGAAAAAAACATTTCTTCATGTGGCCGCTCATCCTTTTTTCCGGGATGAAAAAAAGGGGGCCTAAATGGAAAAGCTCCCAAAAAAAAAGGCCATCCTAGGGGTCGAACCTAGAGCCTCCTGATTACAGCGGGGTAGAAACAATAAGTATAACGTAGTCAGACGCGATACCATTTCGCCAGACAGCCATAAAAGGCAAGCATTTTAGGAAACAAACGTCTAGATAAAAGAAAACACGTGATCGCTTTTGGAACCCATGGGGTGCTCATCTTTTTTTTTCTGGGATGAAAAAATGGTGAGGGGCACCCGCCGAGACATGCGCTTAGAGTATAGTATTCAGACTAACGCCGCAGAAATGGGTTTAAAAGGTTTTTGGATTTTTGTTTACGCCGAGGGTAAATTCCGAGAGGGACTGACGAGGTCAACCTTGCAGTGGGCCTGCAAAAGGTATGCTGTTTGGCTAATTTCTGGCGCTTCGTTTTAGCCATTGTCCAGTGCGATTTGTGTTGCAGTGGATTGGTGTGTGGAATGATGCGCCGGTAAATGCCGAAAATGCTCTCGTTCTCAGGACCAGTATGTAAGATAAGATAAGATACATGGGAGGCCGTCTGGCGGAATGGCCCTTGGTGATGCAGGACCCATTCGGCCCAATTTTCCCCCATGCCGGCTGTCTGGCGAAATGGCCCCCTGGGCTGCGCCCAGGTATCGGACACCCGCATCGACGGAGATTGTAGGTTCGACCCCTACGTCGGTCATCTTTTTCTCTTTTTGAGTATTAACAGAGATTGCAGGTTCGACCCCTACGTCGGTCATCCTTTTTCCCTTTTGCCCAAGGGTCCAACATGAAGCCCAAAAGCTCGGCGGAACTTTGAAACCCGAAATTAGAACTTTTTCGGCTCTACTCGCTTTTATACCGCTTTTTTTGGCCCATCGTATCGGGCAGGCTTCTCCCCTTCCTAAAGAGAACGGAACATTAGGGATAAGTTCTCAGACGTGCACATAGTGACAACAACTATATTGAATAAATACTGTACCTAAAAAGAACAAGACATTAGGATAAGCTCTAGTCCAACAGTAAGTACGGTAGACAATATATGTAAGTATCCGACATACCTCAGACGTGCACATAGTGACAACGACTGAGGAAAGCGGGATGCGCGGCGCACATCCTTGATGTCCGCTGGCAATCACGTGGGATCTGCCCGAAACCCCGTTAGGGAATCGCGTCAAAGAACGCGTCGAGGAGAGCCGCGCTGCGGTCGGAGAGCACCACAGATGGGTGAATTTCAATACTTCCTTCCCAGTCCAAGTTTTAGCTGAATCCGGTAGAGATAGAGCAGATTGATGCCGTTGTTCAAAGTTCAACCAGGTGAAAACATATCCAAATACGAAAGTGGTTTCCATCATTCCTCAAGCTTGCAATACATGCATATACATATCTATGAATTGGTGTGCTTTCTCTCTTTTATGGAAATTGTGTTCTTATCTCAATGAAATATGAGAACATCGGGAAGGCAAGGTAAGCGTTGAATAAGGAACGGCAAATTAAGGGGATCAACATAAATACGGGGCTGGCACTTGTGCTCATCTAAAAGAAGCTTAAACTTCTGTAGCCATATATAGTTTAGAATATCGGAACACGAATGGCAGCTCGCATTGTGCTGAATTGTTGTAAAATAGCGAGTCAAACAATCAACCACACCGAGGTCAAAGCGTAAAATACGGGTTACGTCATGATGAAGCATCAATAGTGATGTGATGTTGAAAATACAAACGGGCTACCGAGCACCCGCCATAATCCGCTCCACCTCCATCTGAACCCGAGCGCGAGCCGCCTGTCCTTCCGGACTCGATCCGCCTATAAACCTGCCTCCGCCCATCCCAACAGTGACGCCTTCATACACCAGCTCGAGCATCTTGACCCACTGGTTGCCCCAGACCTCCAGCGCATGCGAGCCGAGAACGTCCAATGCAGCTGTAAAGCCAGATCAGTAGGTAAAGGAGCCGAGTAAACAGAAACTGACTATATATCAGCTGCGCCGCCACCGAGGTCTCCAGCAGCCCGGGCTCGCCCATGAGTCGTGCGAACCACGTCCAATACCGCGGGAGCTGGAACATCGCGTGTAGGGGCCGGCGCTGCGGTGGGAGTTTGAGGATGTGGAAGTACAGCCGCATGAGCCCCGCGACGCGGTTGGTGTACTCTACCACGCCTTCGCGCGCGTCGCCTTCCTCGACGGTCTTGCGGTACCCCATGACCTTTGTGCGCTCCTCCTCGCCATTCCACTTCCGGCCGTCGTAATCCGTCGTGGGGATGACTACGGGGATGGGCCATCCGCCGCAGCGCTGCACCAGCTTGGCGAAGAAGATGTCGGGGAACGTCTCGAGGCGGTCGAGCAGCGTGAATGCGACCTGTGCGAGGGGTATGGCGCTCTTCTTCTCGGCCGTGACCTCCGTTTCGGCCTGCAGGAGGATCGTCTTCGCGAGGGAAGAGAGCAGACCGGTGTAGAGTATTGGTGGGTGGCGTTGTGGGGGCATGATGATTTTGTCGTGGATGAAATCTGTCTGCATCGACAAGTCAACAAAGAGGAAAGCCTGAAAGTGGGCGTTTTGCGTACTATCTCCCGTATTGCTTTGGAGTCGTTAGTGAGTTGGCCAATCTTGGGCGTAATCTTCCGGCGGTGCTCTCCCCAAATAGCCCTGGCCGCCTTCTCCACCTTGATGGGCCTCATGGTCTTCGTCTTCAGGACCTGACGTAGACGGTCAGCGGGGAAGAGTTTCAAGAGGAGAGTGACGAACCATAAGTATTGAGCGTGCGTTCCGCCAGTCGTCTTCCGCCGAGGTCAAGCCTGCGGCTTTCCGCTGTTCAGCCTCAGCCGCCGTGCGTTCCAGTTTATCCTTCTCGTCCTGGACGCGCTGCTTCTCCTCGTCGTCGTTCCTCTTCTCTTCCGCCACTCTGGCCCGCTCTGCGTCTTCTATTGCCTTGAGTCTATCCTCCTCCGCTTTCCGTTTATCCTCCTCCTCCTTGGTTCGTCTCTCCTCCTCCTGCCGTTTTCTGCATTTCCTGCTCCTGCCGCTTCCGCTCCGCCAGCTCGCGAACCTTCTGCTCAGCCTCCAGCCGGGCGCGCACCTTGGCCTCCTCGAGCTGGATGACATAGTCTATCCGCTGCCACAGCTGCTTGTCCCGCGCTTGCCAGCCTTGTCGCAGCTTTTCCTCCTCTCGCTGCTGCTGTAGCTTGAGAGAGTCGAGCTGCGCCTGAACCTCCGCCATCTGCTGCGCATGAACAGCAGCAAGCCGCCGCGACTCCTGTATCCGCGCCTGATCCTGTTCGTGGTGGATCTGCACCTGTATGGCCGTCTGCTTTTTCCGCGCGGTTCGCTAAAGAAAGGGAAATGTCAGAAAATAATTGCCATAGTGTGAACATGGCATACGAAGGCATCTTTACGCGTCTGCTTCTCCCACTCCTCGTATGGGTCATGATGTCGTGTGCGTAGTCGTATTGCAGCGACCGTATCCTCGATATGCCGCTGTTCAGCCGTGGTTTTTATCTTTGCCCTCTTCTTTCTGCACCTTCATAAGTTGGCTAGATTGGAGACCACATGTAAGACAAACATTGGGGGTGGCGGCACCTCGGATTCGGACGCATAGCAGAACGAGTCATCAGAATCGGAGCCAGAACCAGAAGACGACGGGGTGTCGGATTCATCTGAGTCGGGTCTTAGCCCAAACGTAGACTGATTCCTTCGCGCTCGACTGCAAAAATAGCGGTTTAAACGGGGATTGGCAAATGAAGGAGTCATATGCCTACGTTCTCACTGGAGACGGCGACAAAGATCTGGGAACGCTGAAGCGCATTCTGAGAGAGCTTCCTAGTCGACCTGGCCTGCGCCTGGCAATTTTCTCGGCGCGGAGGTGGTGGTTCAGTACAAGGCGCGTATGTAAGCTCAGCACGTGCATCTCACTTTAACGAGCGAGGCTTCATTTGTTCCCACTCTCTTTCACTTGCTGCGGCTCACAACAATGAGACTGTGGCTGCTTGTGCTTCCTATCTTGCACCTTGGGGTCTCAGTTCAAGCTTCAAACCCCGATCTTTTGCGTCTCCTTGGTCCTCAGGGCGTCAATCTATGGAAACTTGAGAAAGTTGCGGCTGCGGGCACTCCGAAATTATTTGTGCAAGAGGAGGGCTACATTCCCGGTCAAGAAACCGAGGAGGTCTCTGGGTTCCGTCCTCAGTGGTTCCGACAGCCTGTGGACCACTTCTCCGATTCCTCCAATGCGACGTTCCGCCAAAGATACTGGGTGAACACGCGTCATTACAAGGCTGGCTCGAACGCTCCTGTCATTGTTCTGGATGGTGGAGAGACCAGCGGAGAGGTCAGCCAGCCGTCTCAAACCTGTGGCTTGGTCTAACTCTGTGCATAGAATCGACTCTCATTTCTGGACACTGGTTTGTTCATCTTACTGTTCACTTCGGCGGTGCTGACGAGGCGACCTAGGAATCGTCGAGATTCTTGCGCGCAGTACTGGCGGTGTCGGCGTAGTACTGGAGCACCGATACTACGGCGCGTCCATCCCCGTCGAAAACTTCACAACCGACAACTTGCGGTAGGCTATTATACCGTGTTCTCTAGACCTGTTCCTCACGCACTCGAAGGTGGTTGAATAATGACCAGTCCGCCGCAGATAGCGCCAATTTCATGGCCAACATCAAGTTCCACGGTATCGACGAGGACCTGACCGCACCCAATACGCCCTGGATTTACTATGGTGTACGCCTCATCGCCTCGAATATTACTCCACCCCGCTGATCCCGTGCAGGGCTCTTACGCCGGTGCACGCGCCGCCCACATGAGGATACTCTATCCCGACCTCGTCTACGGCGCCATTGCGTCCAGCGCAGTCACCCATGCCACGATCGTCAACTGGGAGTACATGGAGATCATCCGCCGCGCAGCGCCGCCCAGATGCTCCGCGCAGCTCGAAAACGCCATCCGCACCATCGACGGCATCCTCTCCGCCGGCCGCCTCTCGCGCCCGCTCAAGATGCTCTTTGGCCTCGGGGAGCTGCGCCACGACGATGACTTTGCTTCTGTCCTCGAGGTGGGGTACCCGAAATATCCAGCTGCTGCTTACTTGACGAAAAACTGGTACAGACACCTCTAAGCTCATGGCAGTCAAAGTGCTGGCACC